GCAGATGCCCAGCAAAAAATAAAATGAAAATAGCCCTCAACCATACAAAACATTACACTGGGTTTTTGCTAGATGAGAGAAGAAGATAAAAGAGGGAAAAGGCACTGTAAATTGGTTGGGGCCTATTTTACCAGTTGGGGATTTCTTTTTAACTGAAATGTTTTTTTTTTTTTTTTGCCTAAAGGGTTACTTAGTCATTACATATTTTATTTACTTTGTTTAACACATCTACGAACCACAACTTATGATCTTGACTTTTCATGCTTCAACTAGGTATAAAATGGATGGTGTAAAGTGTACGATTAGTTGTTTAGATATAAAGCTTTGGGCGGGCAAATTTATCATCTTACACTGCATCATGATCTACACACTTCGCAATTCTTGTACACTAACTTTCGTTAGGTTTAAAATGTTCTACATCATAAAACTAGGTAAGTCCTATTTATGATATCCATTTTGTGGCTTACTTGATTTATAAGCAAGGGAATCTTAAACCTTCTGAATTTTGGTCTTGGGTACTCCAGATTATGTAGATTAGTTTCCCCAGAGTGGACACATAATGTGGTTGTGAATACACTATTGTTAAATGAAATCAGTGAAGGACTTTTTGCAAATCCTTCTGGAAGCAGCTCTGCTTTTCTCTATAGACATAACACGCACATATCACCCAGGCCACCCACTTGAGCTCAAAGTTAACTTGGGTATTATACATTACTTGAGATGATCCAACTACAAGTTGGTCTTAATACTATTGCCATCACCCTTTGCCAAATCCCGAAAAATGGCTTGAAGTTAAGTACAAACCACTGCCCCCTATGTAGCACGAGTATTTTTATTAAGCAGTATTGTATCGAACACACCTATCATTTTCTTGGACGCTCCTAGGATACATGCAACATTTTTCAAGTATGCCATCAATTATAATAAAACGTTGTAAGTCAGAATACTTGCTGCATACTTCTTAGACACATGTCATGCATTTGTTATACACTTCTTTATTCACATACATGTTTTAGATATTTATTTACTTCAGTTTTACGTGAAAACTATATTCAATGGAGGATAATAGAACTTCTCAGAAGCTATGATCAGTAAAAAACTGAGGAGCCTATAGTCTGCTACTTTTGCATAAACATGCATACGTATGTGTGTATAACTGTGCATATGAACTCTCTTTATCATTACATATATATTTTATGACAATTATTATGTTCCTTTTTCCTACTGCTTAAGGAGTTGCGGTGTACCATTTCCATGTCTGTCTGTCTCATAGCTGTTATGTATCTGTGGTCATGTTTGTAAGGATGTCGGTCCTCAAATATATATGTGTGTGTGTGTGTATGTGTGTGTGTGTGTGTTTGTGTGTGTGTGTGTGTGTATGAGAACAGTAAATCCTAGAACCTGGCATATATAAGAAAACAGTAAATCCCAGAACCCGGCTTATTATTCTCATTCCTCGGAGCATAGTTATATCATAGGAGTTAGAGAAATATTAATTTATTAAAAGCAAGATCAAAGAAAATTATGATAACTAAAAGGGCATTTCTAGTTTAACTAGTTCTCTTTCAAAGTGTACCAATAACGAGTCCTTTGAAGCACACTTGGAAGTTGTGAAAAGCGAATAAAGCATAAAGTTACTATAATTGGAAGGGATTTTCTATTTTAAGCCCCTAACAAATTTCAGTATTTTATATTAGTTCCTCAGAGCAACCATAATGTTGACTTGTTAAAGTGGGTAAACATAAACTTACTTTAATGGGAAGGGCTTTTTTTGGTTCTATAGTAAATTTCTATGTTTAATAGTCTCGCGCAAATCAATATTTCAATGAATCTCGCATAATCTAAACATTTAGGAAGCAGGTCACTAATAGTTTAATTTTGATACTAGTCTCCTACAAATTTCAATAATCACAAATCCCATCATAGCATAGTTGGAAGCTGTATATAGTCCCTCTGAAGGAACATTTAGCGGTTGTCTCCATATTGTCAGAACTCATATCGAATGTCTAAAGGTACTTATATATCAAAGTAAGCAAATTGTTGCATCGACCATTAATTTGTGCGGGGACAATACCAAAGTTTGTTAGGGATTTGTATCATAAAAACTCAAGCTAATAGAAGCATATAAATATTCTTAGATTAGTCTTTCCACAATAAGTTTCTACGAAAATCCTTTAAGATGAGAGTTAACCAAATACAAGGGAAATCAACATCTCTCAAAGGTCCTAAGAATTTTCTAATGGAGGGGCGATAAGACTACTTCCCAAAAAAAAGAGCATAACATATATAATAATTACTTTCAATTGAAAAAAGGGCAGCTCTGTGCAAGAAGGTTCCGCTATGTGCGGAGTCTAGAAAGGGGTCATACTACTTTGGGTCTATTGTATGCAGGGATACCTTTCACCTTTTTTACAAGAGGTTGTTCCCACGACTCTATCCCGTGACCTCCAGGTCAAACGGTGACAACTCTTACGCTTGGAATAATTACCTTTAACTTTGAAGCCTAAAAAAATAAATTTGGATCCTTCCCACTACAAAAAAGGAGTGGACATACAACTATATTAATCATAGTCATTGATTTGTCTAGAAAGTGGTTATGATTAATTAAGAAAAATCATAACCACCCATTAAATATATTAACAATTGTGATATAGTAATGGTCTCTCCACGTGGTGAGGAACCAAATCCTAAAAACATTTATATCATACCAATGTATCTCATTTGGTATCTTTTTACCACCTTCCTTTAATAGCTTAATTTACAATTGACGTCCCCTCCCCAAAAAAGTTTGACGATTTACTTGAAGCTCTTTGGACCGCCTAGTCACTGCATCATTTGGAGCGATTTGCTCGAGGCTTTGTTCACTGCATCTTTTGTAACCGTCGTTTCTTCTCGCGTGTCAATAAAAGGACAAAAAGAATACAATGTGCCCTTCCATCCCTTTCCTATAAACTTCTTCAGGCAGTGCCACAAGCTCACCCATCTCACAAAAATGGCCTCGATAATTCCTCGACAAGTACCCATCAAAACCAAAAAAATCAGCAAGAAAAAGAAGAAAATATCAAAAAAGAAGACTACCTTCCCTCTTCCCATCCTTCCCCAAGATGTTATCTTTTTTAACATCTTCCTTCATCTCCCTGCTCGCTTCCTTCTCCTTCTTCGTTCCCTTAGCCGCTCGTCTCTTCAGATGATAAATAATCCCCATTTTGTCCGCAACCATGCTGTTCTTAGTTCTGCCCATCTCCTTTTCTTCGGCTTTAATCACTATAGTAATTTGTCACCGACACTCTTTGGTCTCCAGATCAATCGCGGTCCTCGTTCACGCAACCGTATCACTCTTCATGAAAACTTCAAGTTGAGTGCTCCCTTTCTTAATGTCATCCTTGCCTCCTGTAATGGCCTCCTGCTCTTATCCTGTCATAAGGCTCGAAGTGTCCTTATAACCAATCTGGTGACAAAGCAATGTCGATATCTCCCACAACCCCTAATTGGACACATACTCTCCAGTCCGCTCAATGGATACTCTGGCCCAATTTGGCAATGCCTTTATGGTCTTACTTTTGATCCCTCTTCGAATCGATACAAGGTGGTTCACTTATCGCTGGATGGTGCGGGTTCGATCTTGTGCCAGGTCCTCACCTTGGGATCATCAAATTGCTATTGGAGGCTGGTAAGCGTCCTCAGGCCTTCTCGTCCTGGTGCGAGCATCAATGTCAATGATCGGCCGGTAAGTATCGGTCAAATTTTATACTGGGTTGATGGGCATTCTAGTACATGGCATACTACTACTGTGTTCGACCCTTCAGAGAACCATATAATGTCTATGGATGTAGGCAGAGAGGAGTTTCGAAGGGTGAAGCCACCACCTTATGTCAAGGACTTATGCCGCCTCTTTGAGTTAGGTGGACATTTAGCATTGCTTAGTTTTGATCAGGTTATGGTTGATATTTGGGTTTTACAGGATTATGAGAGGGAGGCATGGGTGAAGAAGCATAGTACTATAAATAAGAGGTTAGTGAAGTACTTGGGGTTCCATGGATTTGCGATGAACTTTGAGCTGAGTTGTTCCCTTCATGATGGGATGTTAATCATCTTCAAGTCTAAGAACAGACTGTTTAAGTATGATCTTGAAGATGATAATTTCGCAGAGGTGAAGACTCATTATGGTTATCTAGGGCCGACTCCAAGAACTTCTACTATAAGTAATCCTTGTGCTCATGTGGATAGCCTATTGTGGCCATAAAAAAAGAAGTTTGATTTCCTGTAATAACAAGAGAATCCAATAAAATAAATGGTGAGAGTAATATTTCTACAAATGCATTCTATTTGGTTGCCTTCTGCCTATTGAATGCCTTTTTATCAATGTATATCCTTTCATGAAAGTCTAAATTAAGCAGACATGCCCTCTTTCATCTTCCTTTGTTTACTTGCCACACTGAAAATATATTTTACTTTAATAGTGAGCTTAGTTTTGCTTGCTATAAATGCATATAAAGTTTTATTAAATTTTAATTTATTGATGTTAAATTTACTAGTTTCTTTCTACTATGTGCCAGTGAGAAGTACTGCATTGTTTTGAGTTTCTGTAGACTTGTTTTTTGGTTGAAATCTGAAGGTTACATGGAATAGAGCAAATTTTTGTTTATTTGTGGTGGAATTTTTTTGCTGCTATATTATATGTTAGTCATCATGTTTCCCAATTTTATTCTTTATTTTTATTATTCTAATCAATAAGGTGGATAATCCTTACTCCTTCCCCTATTAGGATAAGGAATCTGTAAATTTGGTGTTCTGCTCTGAACTTGAAAGCTCATCTCTAGCAAATGCCTATATCAACTGCGTAGTTTCCTTTTGTCTCCTGTGAACTGAGCTGGTAATATATTGAGACGATAGTAACATATGGTTCGTGTTGGCAGGATATATGCACTCTGACCTATTTTCAACTCTGTCATATCTATAGTATCTATTTTGAGAATATCTTCTTTATATGACTCCCAACTCTTCATTTTCTGCCCTTCTTTCTTTCGACAAAAATGGTTGTCATTTGCTTGTTTTAGTCTCTGCCTCATTTTTCTTATTATTACCACTGAACTCAATTGCATGTAATGCTCTTAATTGTGAATAAATTTTGGCAGGAGCTGTTCTCCATCAGGATGGGCTGTAATCTCCATTTACTGTCCAAAAGGGACAATAGATTGTTTAGCAATTTTGCTGGTTTTGGATGCAGCATATTATGTTTTTCGATAGGATTTATCATAGATAGCTACTCTATTTATTTGCATTCAAATGGCTTCTTCCAGATCAAAATCTAGGACTACCAGATGTTAGACTATTTCAACTATGATTTTTTTTTCTTTGCTTATCAGATCTCGGTATATTGTAGGTTGCTGCTATTGCATTCTATTGAAATCATAAGCTGAATCTAACATCTCCTTTATTTCTGACTCTATTCTGTTATAGTTGTAACTAGTGAAGTCTCTAATTCGGGTTTATGTGATGCTCTTCTTGAACATTTAATGTTTTATGTGCATTTGGGCATATGTTTTTGCTCATTACAATTTATGGATTCGAAATAGCAGTATTTTTCATGCAAATGACATCATCCAGATTCAAACCATGTTTTTTTTCTTTGCTCATCAACGATCAATCTTAAACTACTACTACTGTAGTGTACTGAATTAAGCCATAAGTTAGATCTAAGATTTTATTTATTTTTCTCAATGATTCTTGCTTTGTTCTACTCTGTTAAAGTTGTAAGTAGTAAAGTCTGTAGATCAGGTCTACGAGAAAATGTTTTTGAACTTATTTTTGCTCCTAGAACTTTTTCGAATTAAAATCTATATATTATTGTTCTTGGAAATAATTATCTTAGCAACTTGTGCAAAAAAAATGAGTGTAGCAGAAATGAAAACGTTATGATGGTCATTTCGGTATACACTAAAAGATAGGATAAGAAATGAGTGTATCCGTAGTAAATTAGAGGTTACTTCTATTGAAGATAAATTAGGGAGAATCGACTAAGGTGGTATGGTCATGTATAACGGAGACCTCTTAATGCACTGGTTAGAAAAATAATAATATTATAGTTAATGGGACAAAATGATCTAGAGGTAGACCTAACAGAACTTGGTTGGGGGCAATTAAGAAGGATATGATAATGACGGAGGAGATGACCCATAATAGAATGGAATGGAAGAAGAGAATTCATGAAGCTGACCCCAAATATTTAGGATAAAGGTTTTGTTGTTGTTTGTTTGTGAGCTTTGTGTTCAGACTATGAGATGTGTGTGAAGGCCAGTGTACTAAAAAATTATGATGAGCGAGAAGAATACAATGAGGTCATTAAGATATGAGCGATAATTGCTATTCAGAAACTGTAATTAACCTTGTATTTGTTGTATTTGCAAAAGGAAACAACACAGCTAAGACTGAACTTGAAAGTCCAGGCTAATAGATCAGCGCAGTTAATGTTCTGTAATCTAGTCAGGATGATAGATATATTCAAAATGGCTACAAAAAAGTATAAATATCCTCTCCTTCACGATGTGAATATATGCACAGAAGAAAACATATCTTCCTGAACTACAAATTTTACTGATACTTGTCTGAACATCCAAACCGAACTAGCTGCACATCAGACTACATAGATAATTTTATTTATTTTCAATGATAAAGGTGTTATTATTTAGATGGCACATAAGACAAGTAACTAGTTTGCGGGATAAGTAGTTAAAAGACTTATAGAAGTTTGTTCGGCAATGACTTTCAGAAATCAAACATGAGAAAACATGAGTTTTCTTTGCGTAGTAGACAAACGTCAAAATCACAATTAGAATATCAGAAAGTTCCTACCAAAAACAACACTAATTAGGTTAGTAAGGCTTGCATTTTATTTCAACAACACAGCTACATCAGAAAAGTCATCATCAAAGCCAATGATACCTAAAATACATAAACAGTGACAAGCAAGATACATGAAATTACACCAGAGTCATAACTATTTTTCTTCAGTTGGTGTTGTGAATTTATAAGATGTATAAGAAATGGTGCTGTTAGTCCAGAAACGGTGCTGTTATTTTTCTTCAGGGTGCTTTCTCTTTATAACAATTCACGTCACCGTACCTAACAAATATGAAATTGCTACTAGCTTGATATTTAATATCTATAATTGGTGTTGGTCTGTTACCTTGTTTGGTTCATCTGTGGGTTTTGTTCTCTATATAGTGCAGAAACCTCTCTGCGATTGAGTTTTTTTGCTGAAACTAAGAACCATCCTGATCAGATTGTTGTAGATTTCATTTGAAACTGAAACATGATGCTTTGTTTTGAACAAATGTCATTGATGTTACAATGCTACATTTATGACATGATAGGCAAGATTTGACTTTCAATTTGTACCTTCTTTTAGTTTCAGGTTAATGGGAACGCTGCAAAGGAAGTTGTGCTTTTCTGAGAGAGACAGTAAACTGTTGTTAGTTCTTGAGAAGAATACAGCTCAATTTACCATCACTGCCTGTTCGTATAGCGAGTTAGAAAGCATTGGAGTTGACATTTTAGACACCCAATTATCGTCATATTCAATCATGCTGGTAAGATGGTTTTTATTTGTATGTCGTGACTGTCGTTGCATGAGTCTCTTATAGTTGTTTAATTTCTTATCAAGTGCTTGAGCCAGCATTACTATCAAGATCATTACTTCTGACTGCATAATACTTCTTTTTAGACTTTTTCCTTTCAGAATTTTCTTGCAGTTCCTTATAAGAACTCTTAATAGGCTGTAAACTTCAAAATTTTCTTTTTATGATACACTTCATTTCTATCAAACTGTTTAAAATCAGAATATTTATCATCTTTGGATTAGTGATGCTATTTTTCTTGGATTTGCCAAACTGTCAAATGTGGTGCCTATCTCCCTCCCTCCCTCTAGGCATAGACACACATATCAATATATCACCCATAGTTTTCTAGCTTCTAGTTTTCTATTATACAATTTGAAAAATGGTAAACACGCCCAAAAAAATTACAACGTACTGCGTGACTTTTGCATCACAGAAAGCTACCCACTTTGAATCCAATATTTCTAAGTAGCGGATTGTGTACCCAAATTTGTACCACGAGCCTCTATGTAATGGGTATCATGTAACTATGGATTCCACACTACCTGCTTGAGCTCAAAGTAACTAGGCATTACACATTAATTAAAATTATCAAACTACAAATTGGTTTTATTTCTTTTTACCATTACCCTTTGCCACATCCCCAAACATTTCTTAAAATTTAAGTACAAATAGAAGCCATATCCATATTGGACGTACCTCACATTTTTTTGGACACTTCTTTTCTCAATCAATCATAGAACACTTATTGTAATTTATAATACTTGCATCACACTTCGTAGGCACGTGTTGCATTTGTTATGCACTTAATTATTCATATACATGTTTTAGATATTTATTTATTTTAGTTTACTAGTTGGAATGCACGTGCACTGCACGTGGTCAAATATCATAATTATTTACTTCAAGTTTATTTATTTACTATAACAAGGTTGCATAAAACTTTATAATTATCACGATATATTAATTTTGTTTGGATATTTTCATGTGTGGTTTTAACATTTTGTCTTCTAGAGAAATAGTGATGTTTAAAGCCTTAAAATATTGATGATTTAAGATTAATTAATAAATTGAATGTATAATTTTAAAATATTAATGATGTAAGCGACCAATATGGAAAAAACCTATTATTATTAATGAAAAAAATAAAATTTTGAATTCATTACAGAAAAATGGTAGGTTTTATCTAGTCATTAAGGATTTCGTTTAGTTATAAAAAAATTACTTCCACATGTTGTTTACTTCCATCTATTGTTTATACGGCGACCAAGTATTATAGATATTTAAGAACTTTTTTCTAGAATTTTCTAAGTTAGAGTGTGTAAATTCAATCAAGAAAGAAAATATAAATTATATGATCAATTCCAAAATCTGATGTTGCACTCTTTTTACATCTTCCTAACTACTAATTGATCTGTCAAAACGATTACTCTCTAGTTTTAAAAAATCATAAAATATAGTTTTAGAATGATTTATACATATTATGCACTCATATTGATTGTATTTTAACAAAATAATTCATTTCTATCCAATGTCAAACAACATCCAAAAATTTCACATAAAGACTTAGAAGAATACAATATCTGCAATAATATTCATATCCAAACTATGAGCTTCATAAACTTATAAGAAGGTGAGCAATATAAAAGGACAACTTCATTTATTTTGTCAAATAATCTATTACAAATCATGAAAGACAAGGGGAATTAGAAGGATCATATACCCATCGCAAATAAATATTAAATTTCTCTTAGAGATTCTTATAGCAAAAGATTTT